GCCTACTTCCATTAGAAGAGATTGTGCAGGCTGGTACATGGATCATGCCTCACATATTTATAGCCCAATATCTGCATCATTTGGCCATCTTCTCCTAACCTGAGAACACTGCTTATCTCTCCTGTTCCAGTTGAATAAACCAGTACAAGCCTGATTTTCAAATTAAGGTTTTGTGGTCCCCATTGCATTGTCTTATGGTGTTGCATTCCTCTGGACTCTCCACTGCATTGTTCACCCCCTCTCCCAGTTGAGTATGGGGGTCCTTGCCACTTACCACGGAGGCTTCCTTCTTAATGTGACTGATTCAACTTAATGATGAGGACAACTGAAATGTTTTGTTAATGTAAATGATGAGTATTCTCCTCCTACTATGGGCCAGAAGAAAAATTCCCAATGCCACCTGGTTTTGGACTGGATGAATCCACCACATGCTGTTCACCCCTCTGACTGGTTGGATGTTGGTTCCCAGGCAGTCTAGTATTGGATTAGCACCAGGCTAGCTAACATAAGTCCTCACATATGTTTGGTAAGGACCCTCCTTTTACTGCAAACTGGAAGATAAATTTCTGATGCCACTTGGTTTTGGACTGGAGTTGATGCACCATGTTTGCATGCCCAACTCTGTCACCTAGATGTTGGGTTCCTGGGGGGACTGATGTACTTAGTATGCTCATATGCCCTGCTTTGGTTGTTCAAACAGAAGTTGTTTTTGTCTTCCACTTCCTGGAATTGAGGTGAAGTTGTTTGGAACTCTCCTCCTACCACAAACCTGAAGACAACTACCTGACACTGCCTGGTTTTGGACTGAAGTTTATCGAACGAATATGGTGTGATACACCCTAGCCACTCTATACCATTTGGCATGTCCTATTACAGATTGGACGTGCATATTTTCTGACCATTTTAGCAACACATGTTGTTGCAATGAGCGAACAGTATATCTGGTAGAGATGAAATGCAGTTTCCCATGGATGTGATCCTATGCATTAAGGTATCAAACACCATAGGTTTTCTTTGGACACCTTCCGAAGAGTTCTTAACTTGGTAACTTTTGCACTAGTCCCTCCACCATTACAATGTGGGATTCTAACTATTATGTGAGGGGAGGTAAAGTATTGTATAAAAAGTTAAATGTATTTCCTATGGATATTCACCTCCTTTCACACTTCCAACCCATCCTCCCCACTTCCATTGAGTTTTTGTTTTCCAAATCTCGAGGTGATAAGAGTGCTCTACAGTATAAAAGAGTCAGCTGTGCTAGGAGGGTGTGTTCATTCCTATTTGCATGCTACATCATAACTATACCATGAGAAATTAACTGGTATGACAAGAGATTTAGAAGATTATAAAAGATCAAGAGAGTTGGTCAAACAGGAAATTAGGATATCAAAAAGGATGTAAGAAAAAAGGTTGGCTGAAAGTGTAAAAATTAATAGTAAGGATTTCTTTAAATATATTAAGGGTAAATAAAATGTTAGGATAGGGGTAGGACCAATGAAGGATGGTAAAGGAAGGCTCATATCTGGTGATTATAAGATAGC